TACCAGTTATCATCAAAATATTGATTATCACATAGAAATATTAATATTTTCATCATCTTAAGTATCATATAAAGTAATAAAACATTGTGAATGTTTATGTTTGAACCTTACAAGAACTGCACGGTGATGCCAGACTGAGTGAGGTTCTTGATGATAACCTCCAGGCTTTCTTCGTTGGTCTGGGTGTTGAGGTCAGTCAGCAGGGCAATGTTGAGACAATCATACTTTTTCCCCCTTAGAAAGGTACCATTAAAAGTGTACTGAATACAGGTTTTATTTTTCAGTGAAGTGCATGAATTATTTATGAAATACAAGAGAGTTTCTTACTTTGTTTCAGTATGAAGAAGATCCATGCAAACTACAAGGGCATCCAGCCCTGTTACAGAGCAGTTAAGGAGGCTCAGAGAAAATGTAAGCACTTTATCAATTTGCACAAAAATCTTATCCCACAGACTTCAATAAAGGGTCAGTCTTCATCTCACTAGTGCCATATATATTAGTGTTCATAAAAAACACTAAAAGAAAAATAAAGACAGGATCCAAGTTCTAATCAAAGTTATCCATGTTCCCATGGAATAAAAAAAAGGAGGAGGACTGGATAACTGTAAAATCATGTACAGTACTGTGCAATACTCCTTCATTTCTTTATATTTTCATTCCAAGCAGCCAGACTTTATTGTATTTTTTTAAGAGTGGGCTTGGGTTATAGTTCTCCAGGATTTCTGAAGGTCTGTCACAGATTTTATTTGGACATGTTAAGAAGAATCTTATTTGGGGGGGATTGTTTGTATGGCTACTTAACACTGACCTGTGAAACATTCAAACATGGATAAAGGCCCACATTCTAAGAAGCGCTTTGATAGTCCTTCAAGAAGCCTGGAGAACAATTCCTGAAAGAAATTACAAGAAAGCTGCCTATAAGAGTTAAAGCTGTGATAAAGTCATATTTGGTGGTCATACCAAATATTGACTTTCAAGCTTCAAATTTTCTATAAATCTCGGCACTTATTTTAAATCAAATCAAATCACTTTTATTGTCACATCACATGTGGAGGTACACTGGTACAGTACATGCGAGTGAAATTCTTGTGTGCAAGCTTCAATACCATAAGAACAAGCAAAATATAAGAATGGCTAAATCTGAGAGTTTTTTTAAAGGCAAATATAATGAAATGATGGGCAATTCAAGACTTTTAGTACAGTGCTCTGCCTGCAGAGTTAGGTTTCTACATGGTATTAATGAAACGTGTTCGGGAGAAAGGATACAGTCACCCTGCTGACTCTCTGGTTGGACCTGATTTTCAATCTCTATCAGTAGTTCACAATCAGGGATCATAAGGTGTCGATGTACTCTGATGTTCTGGTACTGGCCATCCTGGCTCAGAGGGTTGTCTGTGGAGTCTGTGCCAAACAGGACCAAAGCCAGCTCAATCTTCGTCTCTGAAAAAACCTGACAGAGGAAGGGGAAAGCATGTTGGGAGGGTGCTAAAATCAGCCTCATTAGGGTGCTTTGTTTTATAAATGTGCAGTTGTACCTGGCGCTGGACAAACTTCTGGATGACTTTTTTGGCAAGTTCAAAGGAAGACTCTTCCCCGGGTGCAGAGTTGGACATGGTAAGCCCCACATCCATGCACAGCACCACAGCTGTCTGCAGAGGACATACTTATTTAATTTACGACACTTAGAGGTGCCAAAAACACAAAATTACTTCTCAAATGCTGCGTTAAGGTCGTGCTTTCTCATGCAGATAAGATAAAACGAGTATGCGAGCCTTGTATGCACTGAATGAGGAGCGTGACCGTTTCAGGCTGGACATGTCTCAACACGCCGCTGACGCTAAACGTCTCAAAAGTTCAAAGAAACATAAAACAAAATGTTCCTAACGAATAAAAGCTGCACATTTAATATCGTGGATAGTATCTAACAAGCATGTATAAGTCCGTGACTTATCTCTTTAACAATTGAAGATAAAACAACTTACTTTTGAGCCTGCCATTTTTTCTTCTTTTCCCTCCACCAAAGCAAAGACTGTGTCACTTTGTTATGGATCCGGAAAGAAACAATGAACTAGGAACCGAAACTAAGTTTCTATTTACGATGAGACTTCTTCCGTAGACCTTATGAATTTATTATTGATTGTTGTTCACCTTAAATTACAATGTTATGTCAAGACCACTTTTGTGGTAGTAAGACTGAAGAGGCGGTCCGATAAAAGCTAAAATGAAATGTAGGTCAAACGCCCTCCGGCTAACCGCGCGCCTACAATATGCAAACATTTCCGAGCTGTGGTCAAGATTTCAGAAATACTTAATTCTAACTAATCACTGAAAATACAAAATAATATAACAACATAAGTATTAAAATAAAATAATAATAATTTAAAAAAATACAAAATCTGCGCAAATTTTAACCTTGTCATCCCTAAATTGATTGTTTTGTGTTTTATTTACTAACGTTACTTAGATTTTTCATTTGCAATTATAATAGTTTTTGTGAAATAATAAGCCTGACTTCCCTACATCAAGATATTGAAATCAAACCCTCCTTTTAATGTTCCCTCAAACCAGCCCTGTATGCTCAGAAAGGTTATTAAATACATAATTTTATTATCTTCGATCATCCAGGAGCTATGTTCAGCCATGACTCACAGGTTTGTGCCTTTAGACTTAAATCACTAAACATGGAGATGTGTCTTTTTAATATATGCATTAACACAGAGCTTGTGTATTTTAACACCCCAACTAGAACCTAAATAGACTTAGGCCATAAATGTAACAAATCAGACATTTAAAAAGTGGCCACAGCAGAACAAATTAGCAAATGTTAATCTGACTGTATTTCTCATGAACTTATTGTATTTGGAATGGTTGCTGCAGAAGGATTTTAGATTTTGTTCAGTGAGTATTGCAGGATAACACTGGGGTGCCAATAATCTCAATTTAAAGCACCCCTCGCCCCAGAGAGCCATCTGCATTGCTGTGCACCATGCAGGGTTTACATGCTGACTCTTGTCTTTGTCTGCTGATTAGAGTGACTCGCTGGTTTTAACGATACAGTAAATATTAGTCTGTAGTTGAGATGTAATAACACAACACTTTATTTCACTTGTGTAAATGTTTGCATCATATAGATTCACAACATGTAAAACTGCATCACTTAACCCAGCCAGTCATATCCATAAACATTTCAACAAACATTTAGACCATCTGGATGTTTTAATCCAGTCTTGCTTGAATTTCAATCAGTTTTTTTTGATAGCTGTTTACAGTACATATATCTCAAAGTGCTGAAGTATAAAAACACCTAGCTAGAACATCTTCTAGGCTTAAATATAGAAAGCAAATTGAAGTAATATGTAAAATATGTGAGCATGGAAATGTAACAGGAATTCTTCAACTTCAGCTTTTTTGTGTGTGTGCGATTTAAAACTGTGAAGACAACACAAACACTTGTTTTAATGCTGTTCAACGTATGAAAACATGAACAAAAAAAGAACAATCTGTCAGCTTGTTCTCACTATGGCTTTGTAACTGCTTAATTAACCCTCAATAAGAAAAGAGGTATTGGTCTCCTTTCCTTTCAATCTCCATGCATTGTTTAGATACCTTGACTATGTACAGAGTCCAGAAACCAACAAAAACTCACAGGCCAGAATTTTTCTTACCCCAGAGTGTGATGTAAGGATCATATCATGACTTTTAATTTTTAAAAATCCCTTGCAAATAAATAATCAGCAGTGGATTAAGCTAAAGAGACTCCTTGGAGGTCTTCAGTGCTATGAGATAATTATTGTTCAGTTATACATAAAAAATAAAACTTTTAGTTGTCTTTTACTGGAATTGTTGTCACCAACAAAAACATCACTTAGCCAACATTTTCCTTCATCCAAATGTGTATTAACCTACAACAAAAAAATCCCAAAGAAATGTACGGAAAATGGCTCATCTAAAGTCCAGGCTTTTAAAGAAAATAAATGCATGTCTTTTAAACACTAAACAACATACACTATTAAAGGACGAAGTACCAGACCACCTACACCTACAGTAGCCGCTCAGCCATGAAAACCCATGCCACAAAGCTCCAGACACACAGTTTTTGTGCTTCTGTATTGAAGCCAGGGGAGGTTTGGACCTCTGCAATATGCGCCTCAGCACTTGGTGACCCATATGTGACCTTATGTGACCTGGCTGTGGCAGTGGTTCCTAAAGCTTTCATTTTGCAGTGATACTTACGGTTGATTGTGGAATATCTAGGAGGGCTGAAATTTCACAAATTGTCCTCTTGCAATGATGGCTTCCTATTATATCACCACACCTCAAATTCAGCAAGCTCTTTACAACAACTCATTCACAATTATTTGTGAAGGCAGATTGCATTGCTAGGTGCTGGAATTCAAAGACTCAAGTGGTATGACCCAATACTTTTGCCCATACGGTGTATATGTTGCTCACAACAAAAGATTCATGCATTCTGTAGTGACTGATGGCTGTGGGGTTGCATGCTATAGGCAGAGGAGGAAAAGTCCAATTTTATGACAATGAATCTGTTTTTTATGGTCACGCTGCCCCTTAAAAGGACAGATTTTCACACTGGTGCTCTTTGGTGTATATTTCCACTAAAATCAGCAACTCACACAAAGTAAACCCACACCACTGCCAGGGGACGGTCACCCCCTTTGCCCATTTTTTATGCCAGCCTCACTCTAAATCCACCTTCAAAGTGATTATGATTACTTCACAAAGACAACAGTGTTGCCTTTGAAGGTATTTTTGATGGCATTGAACAGCACAGTGATCATATATACTTAATGCAGATATTTACAGATGAAGTGAAAGTTGATGTAAACTCTCAGGAGTGTGTGCATATCAGTGTCCACGCCTTAGCTGTGAAAACCAAGGTCCATATGTTTGAAAAGGTCTTTGAGTGGGAGTGCTGTTCCATAATTATTGGTGGCTATTTAGTGATCTGTGAAAGCTGTAATGAACCTGTAATCAAAAGAAAAGTCCCATAATAATTACTCCAGTGCTTCAACTCCAATAATGCTAGGTGATAGCAGTTCAGCACCAAAGGAGAGTTCAGGCAGTGCTTACTGTGTGATTATTAACAAAAGAGACATTTTGAAATAGTTTTAGAAAAGAAATTCTAATCAAAAGATAATTTTCTTACTCCTGTGGCTTTCAGGAAAGTCTCAAACCCTTCATTAGCAAAAACATAGATAGTAGTGGTGCTCATTTTGACACTCAAATTATTCAAATAATTCCCAACTTTGACCACATTAGCAATATGCTCCTTGAGCCCAGTGCCCACTACTTCACACTGATGACGTTTGGGCAAGTTCACTGGGTGCCTTGCTCTGTAGAGTGCCAGAAACAGTGTCAGAGTCAAGCAACTCGACTATGCTGTATGGCGAACAGTCTTCAAGCCCCAATTTCCCACAGGCCCAGCCACAGAAGCCTTTCTCCAGGTCGCGCACCGCCTGCCACCACTCACTGAAGGCCCAGGACACCTGCACCACAGCAGAGTACAGAGCCAGTGACAGCGCCAAAGGCATGATGAGCATGGGGTAGAAGATGATAAGAAAGGGGCATATTGTTATCTTGTGCCAGAACGTCCGCTCCTCATTGTACACCAGGAAGACATTGTACCAGGTGAGGGTGCCGTAGTAGAAGGAAGTGATGAACGAGAGGATGAAAACCACAGGTGCGCACGAGATGCTCCACAGGACCACATGGGTCCCTGACACGCACCTAAGCTACAGGTGCGCTTGGAGCCTTCGCTCGCTTCGCATGCTGCATCAAGACGCTCCCTCGACTTGGCGAGTTCCCTGATTTCCTTCTCTGTCAAAGTGACGTGTATGTCCACCACCTGACCCTTCTTCTTTCCACGCGTAATAGTGCCAGTCAGGGTCACGTAGCGGCTGTCTGGAGGAAGACTCCAGCCTGTTCATACAGGATATGACATGGAAGTTAAGCAAGCGACACACAGGCAAGCCCAAACGTAACTGTAAAAAAGCCTGTGCAGTGTGTAAAAACATAATAACAGAACACAATCATTTGCAAATCTCATTAACCCACATTTTGAATCTGGACCAATAAACTGAAAATTCAAATTCTTTTTGGAAAACATGGGCACTGAATGCTCCGGACTACATAGGAGAGAGATCATCTGTCTCAAAATCAGCGTGAAGTTCAAAAGCATCTCTGATGGGGTTCTATTAATGCTTGTGGAATTGGCAGTTGGCACATCTGGAAAGGCTCCAGCAATGCTGAAAGATAGACACAGGTTTTACAGCAACATTTTAGCAAAGGCATCACATATCTCAGTGATACAACACTAAAGAGTTGCATCCATTACAGCATGGCTTCATAGTAGAAGCCTGCAAGGATTGTTGTTGAAAGAAAAGAAGATGCTACAGTACACAGTGGTAAACATGGCCCTGTCCCAACTTTTTTCAGATGTGCTGCTGCCATCAAATTCAAAATCACTTTATTTTTTCTGGGTATGTTTTCTGTGTTGTATTGTGAATAAAATATGGGTTTATGAGATTTTCAAATCCCTGTATTTTGTTCTTATCTATACTTTATACAGCATCCCAGCTTTTTTGGAATAATGGTTGCTGTAACACTGAAGTCTATTTTGTGCACAAATCCTGTCCTACAGTACTAACATCTGACATGTTGGGTTCATGAGTTTAACAGTGTGAGACAGCTTTTTCACCTTCGCCTGTGGGTGTGCAGAGGAATTTAGTTCCCTCCTCAGTGCTCCTCTCTGCTCCTTCGTCTCCTCCTTGGTCCTCTCCTGGTGCCCTCTCCATTTCAGACCGATAAACAATGAAGGACTCAGGACGTGGATCTTTCTTCTTCTTCCTCTTCCTCCTCATGGAGGGTCCTACTTCCCCATCATCTGCATGGCTCCCTGACACGTCAGACCTTAAGGAGACCATCTGGGGGCTGCCTTCCCCCTCAGTCTGAGGCTCCTCTACCTGTGCCATGTTCTCTCATTCATCCAATCCAACTCTTACTCTGAGGCTACTGTTTGGATGTGTTATGTGTGGAAATGAATAATGAAATTCTAAGCAGCATACAAATCTCCAACCATTGCATTAAGCCTTTACTCTGATGACTAGCTGATTGCAAAGTCATAAAAACATACACACTAGCACACACAGACACACACACACAGAGCGTCATTAGGAAAAACATGTTTTTAAGCTCAGTGTGTAAGCCTGTGCCCACTGATCCTGGCCCAGATTCTGCACAGTAGCCTATTTTTGCTTTATGTGCTGATGTCAAATGTCATGTTATCATTGATTTCATGGCATCTCATGGTATGGCATGAACAGGAAACAAATAGGATATCACAAACAAAGCATGACACAATTGTTCAAAGGGGGGGGAGGGGGTCTCTTTGCATGACAGCGCAGCAATATAGGCTGAAGCTCAGGCTAATATAATCACGTCCAGACACATGATAGGGGGAAAAATAAGGAATTTAAAGAAGGAAATGTACAGTTGGTCCAAAACAATGCATGTTTTTCAGAAGAGGGGGTGAAAGCGACAATGAAGCCCTTCATACAGCTGATCCCCTCCCATTTAAATCCCACCCATGTCCGCTCTTTTGTCTGCAGCCGGTGAATGTGCTCTAACCACAACATTTCCACTGCGGCTTCATCTTACCTTCAATCTGCTGGACGAGCTCCGTGTAGATTAACTTGCACCGTGTGAGAATAAATTACTGAATCTGCCTGACATACAGGAGCAGAGCCCGCAAATTTCAGCGCTGTGTTTGTGTCCATACAGATGCGCTACGCAAAGCGATTTCCAGAATAGCACTAGTCCCGCCCCTCCAACCTCTGCCGCACACCAATCCCCACCATCCGTGATCCTCACGGCTGTCATGTGAACAAGGAAAAATGATGATGTGGGAAAACCATCATAGTCTAATATAATTCCCGGGTATTATATTAGACTATGATGTTTTCCCCACATTTTTCCTACAGTGTAATGAATCCAGTCCTTTTTGGCCTTTTAAAATATCATTAAAGAAGTATTATGTTATTCTTGTTGCAATTTCCTCTGCTCAATTGGCCAGATCACTCTTTTTTTTTTTTAACGCAATTTTAATATCAGTAAGACTTTTGAGTGGTATAAGTGAAGGATATAAGTCACTTAAGTCGCTAAAAACTGATTGCAGCATTACTTTGGGACAGGAGTGCTATTTGTGGAAATCCTAAACTTATTAAATATGAGCAAATAAATGAGTATATAAGGTCAAAAATATATATATATATATATATATAAAAAAAAAGAAGCTCAAAATAGCTTTTTGTGGCTAGTAGACAATAGTAAACAACACACTGATTAAATATATGAAATGAGTAGGCTGTAATAGCGATGAATTCCTATTGTTTTTACAGAAAATCATTTATCATTTAAAATTTTCATACAATACCAACATAAAATTATTATTAATAATAACATATTAAAATTACATAAAATGAATTTAAATAAATGAATTGGGAATTTTAAGTTTTTCTTAATAAAAACGTTCAATAATATGGTAGCCTTTAAAAAAAAGTCAGTAGAAATAATATGAATTTTGATTCCTTTACTTCTAATTGAACTAATTAAAATAACATTAAAACAATGTCATTTCCTGAAGAAGTCTCAGTTCCTAGCCTTTAGCTTTAGCTTCAATAGCTCTAAAGAACGGGATCAGTTGATGTGATAATATTAGCCTCAAAGTATAAAAATGAATGACCAGGATTCATTTGATAATATTGACCAGCTCCTCTTTCACCTCGGTAAATTCACTTATTCAGTTTATTACAGTTTATTACATCAGTTATGTTATCTTGGATTAGCATTAGCTTATTAGCTGTATGGCTAAATGTCAGTCACAAGCCTGGAAGCTAGCTAGACAACATGACAATTTAAACAATGTTAAAAAGGTTTTAGAGGTTTATTTATACTATTGTTGTTTTTGTTATTATTATGAAAGATAAGTGTTATATGTACTTTTTTATAGCTCTTCAAACTCGGGAGCTATCTCAAAAGAAGAATGAAATTAACCAACAGACTAAAGGTATGTGTTGATGCTAATGTTGGTGTAAAACAGTGGCTTAAGAAAGGTAATGATAAACTGGGCTAAAGACAGGCCTTTGTGTCTTTTGTTATTAGATATTAAACACCATTAAGCTTTTTTTTTGTCAGTTTAAGTCACAGAGCCCCTCTTGGCCACCTTGATGTGTCCTCCCTGTTTCTGTCTGCATGTTATATTATGATTGGGTCTATATTTTGTTGTACAACAACAAAATGTTTGTAGTTTCTCCTCTGTACTACACAAAATTAAGTAATCAATACATCATTAAAGCTAAAACTCTGTACTTTAATCACATTTTGATTGTTTTATTTAAAATTCACAAGTGGTAACGTGAAGGACCAAAATCAACAAAACTGTATCTATGTCCAACAACTGTATACTTAATGTCTCAGTAGTTGTTAGTCACTTGTCCTTTTGCTGACTTCTCGCATTACGTTGAAGGGTGGTTTTCTCATATGTAGGTGTGTTTTTATTTCCTGCTTTTGTTCTCTTCCCTCATTTCTAACTGTCTGTCATTAGATTTCCTTATTTGATCACTTTCTCCTGTACTCAATCTACTCCTTTGTGTATATGTATAGACTTGCCACGTCAATTATCACCTTGTCTGTTTGTCTACCTTTTGTTTCACAAGCCCATTTCTATTTAGTTTTTCTTGTTTTGTTTATGTTTTTTTTCTCTGTTTCTGTTTTTTGGATCAATGACTAAAGGGTTTTTTTTGTTATGCTTGCCTGTGGGTCCAGTCTCTAGCATTTTATGATACTAAGTGGCAGTATCCTCTTTTTAATATCTGGTCACCTTGTCTTGAGTCATTTAAAAACATTGCCCATTCATTCCCTTGTATAAGGTCCATTTAGCCCACTATTGTTTAAAGATCCCTGCTTTAGTACTGATTGATCAGGCTATCCATTGAGTACACTTCCAACCACCTGACTAGCCTTAAGGGATTTGATTTTAAAGTGATAGTGTCCTTTTGAATTTCCTTATCAGCTATTAACAGAAGCACAATGTTGGGGAATCCTGTATCATGAACTTTATCTTTTAATATAAGATTATTGTGTGCTGTGTTAATGTGTTTGGCAACAGTTTCCAGAGCCAACATTGCTGAGAAGAAGTCTTACATTGAAGCAATCAACAGAAATATTGAGCAACTTGAAGAGGAAATCAGTGTGAAACAGAGCACTGTAACACGTAATAAAGCAAATGCAAAAAGGTACAGCATTTTGTAAAATTAAACAGGAAATAAATGTGCCAAACCATGATAGATTACGGTGCAGGAAGATTGTGCAAAAGTGTTGAGCCACCTCTCATTTCTTTATATTTCGCTCCAAGGAGCCAGACTTTCTTGTGATTTTTACAGTGGTCTTGAGTATTATTTCTCCAGGCTTTCTGAAGGTCTTTTAAAGTTTTTCTTTGGACATTTGGATGCTTTTTCACTCATTTTCAATCTAGTCCTTGTTCATGACCAATGTTTTTTTTGTTGTTGTTGTTTGTATCTTTATTAACACTGCCACTTAACACTGACCTGTGAATCATTCAAGCATAAAAATGCATCTAAATCAAGGAATGAACCAGTATTTAAGATAAGATAAGATAAGATAACCTTTATTGTTTTGTCACAGCAGGAAGTGGACAGTGCAAAAGTTATGAGGCAAAAATTAGAATACAATAAGAATAAATACAGTACACAACTGTACAGAATAGAATAAAATAAAATACTATATACAGTAGAATAAAATAAAATAAATATACAATAAGATAAAAATAGAATACAAATACAAATACTATATACAACTGAGTAAAAATACAACGATGACAGAAAGGATTATTGCACTTAGTATTATTGCATATGTATGGATGTGTGTGCTTGATCAGTTAAAGTCTTTATTATGGAGTCTGACAGCAGTGGGGAGGAAAGACCTGCGAAATCTCTCCGTCCCACACCGTGGGTGCCGCAGTCTCCCACTGAAGGAGCTGCTCAGTGCTGTCACAGTCTGCTGCATGGGGTGGGAGATGTTGTCCATCAGGGATGACAGCTTAGCCGCCGTTCTCCTGTCACTCACCACCTCCACTGGGTCCAGAGGGCATCCTAGAACAGAGCTGGCCCTTCAGATCACCCTGTTCAGTCTCTTCCTGTCCCAGCAGAGATGCTGCCGCCCCAGCAGACCACGCCATAAAAGATAGCAGAAGCCACAACAGAGTCATAGAAGGTCTGCACATAACAGATAACGTAGCAAGGAAGTCATTTTAAACTGTATTTTTAGGCACTTTGTAATTAGCACCCTGCCCTAAAAACATATAATTCACTCCCATTTCTTGAGTCGATTCTACAAAAAATGCCAAAGATAACTCAGTTTGATAGAAATGAAATAGCATTTTGCACCAACAATGATTCCCAAAGAGCTTAGCTGAAAACTTGGTATATCGCAGGATGGTTCTTAAAAAGAAATAATAGAAAATAGGACAAGTGGAGGATAGAAGAAGTGATGGAAACATTAAAAAGCTAAAGATGAACAGGATCTCAAAGTCCTATCCTTGAGAAATAGAGAAAAAAAAGTCCAGTAAAGACTTGACACAGGACCTGAGAGATAGATCTCTACTGTTCACTGAAACCAAACAAAATTGGTCTCACTGGAAGGATGATTGTCAAGAAGCCATTCCTAAGAAGTGGTATGCCAGGCTGAGGTATGCCAAATTACACGGGACTGGACTGAAAATCGGGGAACAAGGTCTTATGTAGTGATGAATCCCATTAGTTTAAATTGTCGTCAGTATGTACAGAGGAGGTCAGTCAAGTGTCTACAGCCAGCTATAACACATGGTTAAGGCTAGATGATGGTTTGAGGCTCCATTTCAGCCTGTGTTGTTGTCAAAACTGGTGAAGTAATGAACAAAGGACACTCTCATCAAATTTTGATCCATCGTGCACTATCCCCTAGAAACCCTGTGATTGGAAACAGCTTCATTTTTTGTTAGTTCTTTTGTAAGTTCTAAAAAAGTCTTTTACTTAATTAATATGTAGCAAGTGACAGAGTAAAAGTAAATAACCTACAGAGTACCTGCTTGTCTTTTATATAAATTTAGGATGAAGGCGACTAACGGCCTGCTTCTTCAATATGAGCAGACGTTGAAAGCAGAACTGGAGAAAAGAAAAGCCGACTACAACCATGACACGTGGGTTCATTTAGCAGCCTTGTTTGTGATTAATACTTTTGTGTGTTGGAAACAGACATGTTAAATGTTCTTTATTTATACCTAAACAGGGAGGTCTTTCAAGAAAGGATTGCAAGCTACAGAAAGATTTTCCAGGAGCATAAAGAATATTATTTACAAAATCCTCTTGCTGAAAAGCTCCTCGTGCTGAAGGCTGAAAAAGAGGAAATTGAATGTAGGATCAAAGCTTGGGATGAACAAATAACAATGAAGCAGAAGGAGCTGGACCATCTTACTGGTGATAAACCTTTCGTATCTTTGAGCTTTGCTCTGTTAGAGCTGAAAATTTTTACAGCTTGGTATACAGTCCCTTAAATTTTGTCCGAACAGGTCCAGTAGTTACTTCATTTTCCACCGAGAACTGCCAGATAGGTATTTTAGTGAATCATCGCAAAGAATAATCAATAGCTTACAGGAATGGTCATTTCTGACTGACCGAGCCCATTTTTGTTTCTAGTGCTTTTGGCTTGCAGCCTGTAACAGAACAAGAGAATGGATTTGATCATCAGACAGCCAGGGACAGAGAGCCTTCCATTGACATCTCCTCTCTGCATCTCAATCAGACAACGGTACAGATTTAGTATTTTATTAAATGCATCTAAACACTGGCAAGCAATCATGAAAGGCAGTTAAAGCTGTTCCAGTTATAACTTCACACTTTGATAAATCTGAGCATTTGTTACAGAGTGGTCATAAAACATCTGATGAAGAGGTAAATGCTGAAGAGATCCATGAGGAAAACATCCAGGATTACTCACCTGTAGTACTTCCCCAGAGAAGGAAGTAAGGAGCTGTGGTCCAGTCAACAGTTTGTGGTGAGTCATATGCTGAAGGGTGTGTATTCGGGGTCACTCACATTAAAAGGGGACATTATTTGACTCTTCTTACTCATAATATAGATTGATTGCTGTCTATTTCAGTCTGTCTTTGGATGATAAAGAAATATGTAAAGTAAAGATAGAAAGGACTAAAGATAGGAAAAGGGCATCACAAGCTTTCTTTTTTAAGCCAGAGAGAAATCTCACTATTCACCATTGAGAAATTTAATTTTTTAAAAACAACAAATGACATATTCTGTAAATAAAACATCCTGTTTTATAATTACAGGAAGTCTGTGCAATTACCTACACATTTTTACAAATGTATTTTTTAAAATTGAATCCCAAACAGTCATCCTCATCATCTAGCAAGATTTAAGATACCTTGGTAACTTATGTGATACTGAAAGCTCAAGCTCGACATAACCTGTTAATCTGGCTTTGTGGTGCGCCTCTCTGGTGCCACGAGTTAGTTTGAATGATCATGTTAATCAACCACGTGAACAGATATTTGCTTCTTCAGACCAGAATCAGCCAGAGGACATGCACACTGAGGAGCAGGAAGAGGAGACTTCACAAAACAACCAGGTTTCTGATTTTTAGTTTACTATACTTGCAATTTCTGCTAATACACCTGAACCAGTTAATCAAACAAATTGCCAAATGTATTGAATGTATAACTTTTTCTTTTTTCTTGTATTCTTCTTGCTGTCCTAGTTTACCTTGCTGTCTCCACAGCAGTGTGTGTATAAATAGGTAGTTGCGGCTTCTAGTAAAGGCATTCCACAGTTTGTATGCCTTTACTAGAAGCCGCACTGCTTATCATATAGAAACCCAGCACAGGATTAGAATTACCACTGTTTGTCAAACTACATGAAAAGCTGGGGTTGTAGGGTTACGAGGTACCTAACAACAGACCGAAATTGCTGTTTTGTGGAAATGTAGTCCAGACCTGCAAGTATGATTTTGACATTTTTATCAATGAATACAATTTTTAAGACTTTTAATAATCTATTCTACTGTATCAGAGAAGTTAGAAGCCGTGTATGTTTCCAGGAAAATATCAAGTTGCTCGAGGCACTCCACAGAACAGTATTGCCACAATGGAAAACCCACTTTTACAAGTATCCATCCGAACTGTTGGAAATGCTTTGACCCCCTCGACAGGAGAAGCTGCCCACAGTTTTCTATGCAGAGGAGATTTTTGAGAGTGAGATGGAGAAGGGAGCAGCTACACATGAAGAGCAGCCACCACACGACAAGGACGATGAGGAACTCGCTACTTCTTCTCAGCCTCCATCTCAGGAGACTGATCCTCAGTCAAAAATTACAATTGCGTCTTCAACCCCGACATTCTCATTTAAGTAAGACTTTGGATGAGTGGTCTGATGCTTTGAATTACACTCACTCAAGTCCTGACAACTGGTTTTCGTGTGTTCGCTGTAGCTTTAGCCCAGCCAGCTCCAAAGATCAAGGGAGCTCTGAGACCAAATCTCCAGCTTTCTTGTTCTCTCTGAACTCTGATCCCAACACACCAGGCTTTCCTGGATTTGGATTTGATGTGGGCTCATCACAGGAGGAGGTGAGGAATAAATGATCTCACAGAAATCATTGTGTAGGTTTTTAGGCATCCAGCTCATGGTGTCTTACATGCTTGAGTTTAGGGAAACTGGACGTCCTTTTTGGCTCATGACGATGTTTTATTTCCCATCCCGTTATTATAGTTAAATCAAATCAAATCAAAATAGATCACTTTTATTGTCACATCACATGTGCCACTGGTACAGCACAAGCAACAGTGGTAACTAAAATAAACCTAAAAAAAATTTAAACTAACATAAACAATTTTGTGAACTTGGAAAATAAAATAAAACAAGATAAAAAAAAAAAAAAGGAATAAATAAGGAAAAATAATTAAATATCCTTAGTTTTTGGTATCTGTTACTTTGGTAAAAATGTTACTATAGCTTTCCTGATGGGGCATTGTTGGATGTGTTTTCCTAAATATTGCTTCTAACATATGGCCTCCTTATACAATAATAATTAAAAAGACTAAAACTAGCACCGAGTCTAATAAAAAGTAAATTACAACCATACAGTAAAAACTATACTGAAACAAAACTCTGGAAAATAACTGAACCTAAACTTAACTAAAAACAAATAGTCAAAATGAAAAAATAATGAAAACTGATTATAAAGTACAAAACTATTATTAACTCTGGTTTCAACCGCCACTCACACTGTGACCCATGTGGGAGGGCCAGTGTTTTGCAGAGAATTCACACCATTGCTTCTGTGACCTTTAACAGCCCTCATGACAGCATGGGCCAGCAACTCTCAGGACCAACTCCGGGAGGCTAAATATGTCAGATTCCTCTTGGATAAGGCTTGAAACTTTCTCATGAACCAAAAAATCCCCCAAAATGTCCAGTTGCCT